ATAAAGCTTTCCTGCATCCAAGTCGTGTCCCCTTCCCTCCTTGTCCGACGTACGGTGCGCAACAACTGTAGGAGAGTAAATGCCGGTCTCTCCATATTTTACTCGACTTTTGTCATATCTAGGAGAGAAGAGGAAATTTTTAGTTTCTCCTTCTCCAGCTCCAGATGAGCGGTGCTCAGCTCAGGGGAAATCTTTCTTTCCTAATTGGGAGAGGAATGATTCAATTACAGAAGTGTAGCAATGAAGTGGGAGAGGGTGGTTGGTCTACATTTGCCTTTTTAAGAGATGTGTTTATACTTATATATAAATATGTGTGCAGATATATATTTGGGCCATAACATTCATATATTAGAGGGTGGTGTCTTAGCTACTGTTTGTGGTCTTCCAGAAGAAGTCATGATGTTTCCCTCTCACTCTCCAAAACTTTGTACTTCTACAAAACTGCTACTATATCATATTCAGGGAATTTGCAACTCCCTTGGGGTCGAAATGAAACACAGATCATCTTTTCAGTAGTTTTATTCAAGTTGACCCATTCTACAACATTATTTTAGCCCTTACTGTGGTACGTGTGAGATTAATTAACTTAAGATTAGTGCCGTTCAAAATTCTTGCATTCACCCTCTCTTTTTGAGAAGTAGTAACATGTTGGCTGTAAAAGGGACATCGGGTGTGCTCTTCCCCTTGTTTTTACAGGTTCTGCTTATATTACCACTACTCTCTGGTTTTCTGTATTTAGAATGGATTCACTCAAGAGCATGCAATCTCCCTATACCTTACCATCACCTATTTGGGGCTACTCAGAGTCCTCTTCTGTCACTTCTTTCTGATTATAGCCTGTGTTACACCAGATCTTTTCTCTGTAGTCAGCAGGTGCATGGCTTTGCACTGTATTACTGAAGATCATACCGTTACTGTTACTCCCATCAGTTAAGCCATCTCGTTCTTCCAGTCTTCAAGTCTGATTCCCTCCTGTTTAATGCCACTTAGCTTTATGTTATCAGCACATAAAATAGATTGCTCCCAAATTATGTGCCAATGCCATTAATGCAAACAAATAATTAGAGGTTTTCTGAGACTGATCCTTGAGTAACCAATATAGTAAACTTCCTCCATTCCTATAACTCCCATATAACATTAGACACTGACAGAAAGGGTATCTCTATGTACTATTTTGCAATCAGACATGAGCTCACCCTGAACAGGCATCCAGCCCAAATAGCAGCTACGTAATCATGTTAGCTGGGTGCTAATAGCTCTCACCAACCTTGTTATCTTGGGCTAGGCACTTACTGTCTGACACAATACACATCTAATTGGGTGCTGGCTGGTACCTGCCTGACACGGCCTCATTGAGAGAATCAGTGGAAAAGTTGGCAGTGGGAGCTCGGGTTTTCAGCTGTGATCATGTATGATTTACCTCTTAGAGGCTGTGCATGAGAGCAAGGATCCTGGTGTTGAGCAGAAGAGAAACAGAGAGGAAACCAGGCATCTATGTTTTGCAAAGCTGTCCCAGGAACTGCTCTGGGCTGAACTAACCGGGAGGAAAGAGGGTTTTGGTCAGCACAAGAGAGGTGCCTGAGCCAAGGAGATGCAGGGCTGGTGCGGCACAAGCCAGGAGGTTGGTTGCTGAGCTCCTGGGAATTCATAGCAACAGTGTCCTTGCCTTAAGCCATGTGAGGATGGAGAGCAGCAGCAGGGACAGAGAGCCATTTCCTTGTGCCCAAAAGGCAGGAGCCTTTCTTCTCCACCTCAGCTGCCTGGGCTCTTCACACATCCCAGGCACTTATGGGGCAGGGCTCTCAGCTGGGCCCTGCAAGCTCCAGTCCCTTCCCAGACCCCCCTAGACCTCTCCCAAAAAGGCCAGGGCCATGAGGGCAGGCAGTGTTGGGACAGGGAGGTTGGAACAGGCAGAGAGAGGAGAACCTTTCAGTGAAGGGGTTTTTTTTGGTCAAAATATTCTCAATAAGTATTTGTTAATCAGTAAAAATGAAACAGTATTTCCTTAAAATAAAAGCAAGATTTGTGAGTACCATACACTAATTTTCATTTCAACTTGTTCCTACTTATAGCACACATCCAGTTACATTTTGGGAGGAACATTGAAGTTACCTGTTAAAATCAGACTTGCTATTCCATGACACTGACAGAGGGTTGAGATCAAGAAATAACACACTGACGCACGGAGCTTTTCTTTGAAAGAGTCTCAGTGAAGTAATAGGTAAATCCTCTGTAATGCATTAGTTCATGTTCTTTTTACTTCACTCAGCTGACTTACAGACTCAGCCAAAACCTCCCTGAGGCAACTGTTATCACAGCAGTGATTAACAAAAAACAGAAGAGGTAGTGCTTGATCTTCACTCATCAGATACCTATCTTAGAAATTGCCTCCCATTGTTCACCTTCCTCCTATTGTTCCTTTTCAGAATATGCTTTGACAGAACTTCAGGCGACGTTTTTTTACGTTGTCTTTGAACACAGTTTGATGATTTCTAGTACATCATCTAGGAAGATGTAAAATTAAGAGGAATTCCAGCACTAAATTAACTAGTGAAAAAAAATTGGACTAACTACTGGAAGTCTGACAACTAGAATAATCAGTGTAGGGGAGAGGATAATTTCAGCTGAGTAGCAATGCAAGACTGGGCAGATGGGTTTCTCATCAGCAGGACTGTGTGTGGCCAGGGCTGTGGGGTCTCCCCAGGGGCAGCTCAGCCTGGCTCTGCTGGGGCTGAGACACTGCCCTGGCCCGGCCTGAGCCCTACAGCTCACACGGGGCTTTGAAAGGAAAGGCAGAGAGGCAGGTGCTGGATGCAGGATTGTTTTATTGCAAATGCAGGAAAACACCCACTGGAGAAAGACACACAAGGCAGAGGGAGGCAGATTGTCCCTGCAGGCTTCAAGAGAGGTCTTCCTTCAGGCTTCTCCCAGGCGGTGGCCACTGCAGAGACAAGCAAGTGTCCTCTGGGACGATGGTGGTGTTGCACATTTGGCCACTGGCAGGGGCAAGGAAGAGGAGATGAAGCGAATGAAAAAGGAAATGAGAAGTGTAATTTATGGAGCTATTCTGACTCGACTGTATTAAGGGGAAGTCTTTGATGCTCTGCCCCTTTATTCAGGAGCTCGGTTGAGGATCAAGATTGTATCATACATTTGCCAGTCATTCTTTAGTCAAGGGATTTTTCCTAGGATTTAGCAGGGCCCCCAGCTGCCACGGCGGTACCTGCTGTACCGGTAGGAGTAAGGGCTGCAAGAGCCAGAACCATAGGATCTACCATAGCCATACAGGCCCCGGTAACCCAGGGAGCCCCCATAGCCCCCCAGACCCCCATAGCCCAGGGAGGAGTCCCCATATCCATACAGACCCCCATAGCCCAGGGAGCCATAGCCCCCATAGCCATAGAGACCCCCGTAGCCCAGGGAGGAGCCATAACCCCCATAGCCCAGGGAGCCCCCATAGCCCCCAAGGGTGGGTGCTCCAGAGGATCCCACAACCGAATCCTGGGGGAAGGAGCTGAGGATGGGGCCAGGGAAGGTGACGACGACAGGGGGTGGCTGGATCACAGTCGTGGAGCCAGGGCACTGACGGACGCACGGTTCATTCCCACTGTTAGCGAGGGGCTGGGGATGGTTGATGCCACCAACAGCAGTGGAGCACAGGTCATAGCAAGACATCTTGCAGGGATGGAGGTCAATCTACAAGTTGATTTTACCAAGTATAAGACATTATTTACATACATAAAAGTGCTATAGATTTTGCTGCCTTTCCTCAGCATGAATTACACCAATTTACCCATGTCTATTAGAAATTTAGCGAGGGGCTGGGGATGGTTGATGCCACCAACAGCAGTGGAGCACAGGTCATAGCAAGACATCTTGCAGGGATGGAGGTCAATCTACAAGTTGATTTTACCAAGTATAAGACATTATTTACATACATAAAAGTGCTATAGATTTTGCTGCCTTTCCTCAGCATGAATTACACCAATTTACCCATGTCTATTAGAAATTAAAATTGAAGCAGAACAGCAAAATTTTTTGCTCAGATGTTTTGGTGAGTCAGTGGATCAGCAAGGGCTGGGACTCCAAGAATGGAATGTGTTGTTATACATGATTTCGTGACTCTAACTCTTCATTCCCACTGATCTCCTTTGTGCTGAGTCTTGTGAGACCAGGGATTATAAGTCATTGTCTGTTCAGATTTGCTCAGTAACTTGCTTGATGAGACCATTACAAGGGAATTGCAAAGATTATTGTCTCCAATTTCCAAACACTGAATCAGGGCACTGAGATATTTACAACTAGCTTAACAACACAGTGTTAAAAAATCTCACTCCAAACAACTTGCCCCCATTAATGTGAAAAACCCAGCACTTCACCTATCAGCTCTTTAAATTCCCTCCATAATCCCTCTTTCTCTTAATTAAATAAATTTCCTACAGAACATTTTCAACAGCTTTCAATTCTGCTCTGTGTCCTACTCTATCCAAGCCAGTGCCTGATCTCTGGTAGTATTCATGTCCGTTTATCTTGAATTAATGTAAAAGCACCTTGAGTGATCAGTAACAGAATAAACTGGAGATACGGAAGGTCTACTTCTAAGCTCAGCATTTCCCTCTGAACCATGAAGATTTAAACTTTTTCAGATAATTTCCATTTACCCATATAAACAGAAGAGGAATGCATATTGAACTAGTCACATCATTTCTTCATTTGTTGGAAGTGAACTAATAATGAACTTAATTTTCTGCCATATCAAGAAACTTTTGGTTTGCTTTGAAATTAAATGCCAACCCTGAATGCAGAGAAGAGCTGTCCATTACACTTTTAATCATTTTTGTAAGCTTTATCTTTTCACCGAAAATTTTACCTATTAGTTCTTAATGGAAGAGACCATCCTAGATTAAATTGTATAGCAAAGAGCTATTCCAGTATTTGTAAAGAGCAGATTCAGACTTACCCAATTCGCTGAGAAGAACGAGTGAAGAGAAGAGGTTGGAAGAACCCTGAGTGGAGAGAGCTTTTATACAGTTCAGACTGCCTGAGGGATGAGAGGCTGGTTTCGTGAATGTGGATCTAATTAGTTGACACAGCACATTTTTTGTATTGATAGCTCTGCAAAGTGATGAAATTGCTCCGCTTTCTGTTTTTGTTTATTACTTGATTTCAATTATCATGTAACATAACACACACATTACGTCACGCAAGGTTCTTTCATCTAAAAGAGTGATGGGTGAAATTAATGCATCTTTCATCCTAAAACATGATTCATGACATTAGTATCAGTTTTCTATTCTCTTTGGAGTTGCACCATGTAGTAAGCTGCTTATACAGAAATATTCTTCTTTTGCTGTCTTATATGACAATGATGCTCAGACATTTATCAGAAATAACCTGCTGTGAGGTGTTTCTTTTGAAGTCCTTTATGTAAGTTTTCTCTCTTCTTAAAGATAAAATACAGTCTACTGTTAAATCCTCAGGAAAGTGGGCAATATTTTTTGTTTTGCTTAGGTTTATTTCTGAAATGTGATACAATTCATATGAGAATCCATGGAGGATTCTCAACACACTCTGAATCAAATTACATTGTGAGCATTCCTGAACACACAATGACAGATGTCCAAAACAGCCTTAGGTTTTATCTGACCCTCAAACTACAACTTAAAGCTGCATTTAGTTCTGAAAGGAGAGATATTTATATTTTTAATGCTCAGGATGGAAAGCTCAAAATAATCAAAGTGTACCTTGAATTAATATCTAAATTTGTGATTTACTGAAATAGCTGTGTGTTTTTATAGAAGGTATATAGGAAAAACCCCAAATTTAACTGTATTAGAAAAAAAAGCCTTTATTTTTTGAAAGGAAGAAGAGAGCTGTGAAGTGAGATTTCAGAGTAACAGACTAAGCCACAGTCTAATAGCATTAGCAACTCAATGGATTCATCCCAGAATATGCAATTCTTACTGGTGTCCCATTTGCTCATCTTCTATGTTTTATCTCTGCCCTCCTTCTGGCATGTCTGCAGGTACTTTGAAGAGGTCCCTTTTGGCCATTTGAAACTGCTGAGACCTCCTGCTTAAATCAAAGACCATTCACAAGTGTTAAAGGATTTCTGCAGCTCTTATTTCACTTGCATATCCAATAGATAAAAGCAACCTTTTAGACATCAAAGTGTCTAAAGTGCCATCAAAGTGACATCAAAAAGTGGACAGATTCCCAGTGAATATCTGAAATCATAAGCAATCATGGATACTCAAAACTTTCAGCTCAGTTTGATTCACAAGTTTGAACAGGTACATTTTCCTGAAGTTTTCTTTAATTTCTAGCTTGCTCCTTGGGAGTCCTTGATCCTGGTCTACAACTGATCTTGCAGCTAACCCCATCATTGATGGCATCTTTCAGTAGAGAGCAATTATGAGGTGGGAATCTGCCGGGAAAGGCAAATGCTGGCTTTTGCTGAGGTTTCTTTCTTTGTTTATGCCATTATTGTAATACTATATAATTATCATGGTTCTCATAATCATCAATGTGGTTATCTTCAGACCACATATTATTTCTAAATTATGAGCTTTTCCAAATCTGGAGATACGTATGGAGATTTCCTGAGCTACAATACTAAAAAAAGCCATCTCAAAGTTTTACAAGAATATTCCAAGGGATTTTCAAATACCTCATGAACACCCATTACTAGCTTGTACATACTGTGTCATAATTATTCAAAAGTATGCCTGGATGCATACACCCCATTATTATGAGAGATTATCACGTTAAAATCGGTGAGTTAAGGTTACTTGGGTCTTTCCCGTAAATCAGTTCGTGGTTTATAACACTTTTTGGACCTTCCTTTCTTTGACTTCAAAAATAAAAACTACCTTTTTTCTTAATTAAAGTGGACATTGGACCAGAAACAGAAATCTGCTTATGTTAACTGAACTATTAGCGAAAAAAAAACCCCAGGGTACAATGGGGTCTGTCTTCATTGTGTCAGGGCTAGGATCTCTTTCAGTAATCACTTCTTATTGCCTGATTTACTTGCTTCTCTTAGTCCTATGTACATCCTAGGTACGTCTCTCTAACACGTAACAATAGGAGAAGAAAACACGATAAAATATAAAGGAAAGCAAAGCTCGATGAAACTACTCAGAAAAATCAGTTTCCATAGACTTGTGACTGCCAGCTGAAATATTTCTCTGTTCCTGGGACTGAAAGACAACTAGTAGAGAACCGTCCAAAAGCCATTAAAAGATGCTCCTGATTATTGTGTTTGCCTTGTATTGAGGTCTTGTATTGCTGGAGGTAGAAGTGCTAAGCCTGCAGAAAGAATGTTTTTACCCTTCTTATTTGTCTCCAGCCTTCATTTGAGATCCTAAAAGAAATTCCATTTTGTCTCCAGGTATACTGTTGATTACACTAAAAGACCTGTAACTGTACAAAAGAAATGACTGTCCTCCTGTCATCCTAATTATGCAGGACTCAAATAAATCAAGTCAGCTTACTTCCTCCCCTAATGCTAAAGAGAGCAATGGAATAATAAAAAATAATTCCACACATAAAACCTGGAGTTAATAGAGAGCTCTGTGGTGGAGCATGCATGTCACGCTATGTGTGGGTTTGAAGTGCCTGCAACGCACAAGCAATAAGCTAAAACAATTTCAGCACTTTGAGGAACTACGTGTCCTACAATTTGGGGTTGGTACCTAATTATGAACTCACGCATAGGATGCCTAATGTCCTCCAGGCAATCGACAGAGCTGTATAAAAGCTCTCTGCATTAAGTCTTTCTATCCACTTCTCTCACCTTACTCGCCTTCGTGAATTGGGTAAGTCAGATTTCTCTCAAACTTTGCTAAACTGAAGTTGCTGTCAGGAACTCTTGATTTTAACTTAGGACCAAGTCCTCTTCGGTTACTGCCAGGCTGCCAGTGATCTGTAGATTATTTGCTGCTGGAAATAATGTTTGGTTTCTCATTTGTTACCAGGGCCTGTAAAGATAGGCTCCAGAAGAGGGGTATATCAAACTGTTTTGAATCCCAAACTTGTAAAATTTTAGTGTTTCAATGAATTCCTTGACTATTTTAGGAGATAAAGAATAGTTCATATACATGGTTGTATATGGCTGCATTTAACAGAGTTCTGCTGAGTTTATAACAGGAAAGATCAAACTTATTAAGTAGAAACCATCAACTAAGAGTGATGTAACACTATCAAAATTAGTTCATCGGAAAATACCAAAGATACAACTGAAAAGCATGTGACTTTGTCATAGTAAAGTCAAGACTAGCCTCCAGATTACAGTGCTAGAAGACTAGCAATAGAAACTATGTTTACTTCCCAGGTTTATTACTGATACTCTGTTGGACTGCTTCATCATAACCTAATGTTTGATATTTCTTTAATGTTAACATAATTTACCATATTTTACAGGCTGACTTCCATCCCTTGAGATGTCTTGCTACGACCTGTGCTCCA